TGCGCCGAGACCTGTTGGCCAGCACCCCGGCACCCCGAGGTGCACGGGATCACCTGTCACGGAGCGAATAAAGGGGCAGCACGCTGGAACTGGGGCCCAGCAGCGTCAGCCTCCCTGGGAAAATGAGCCGCTTCCTGTGTGTGGGCGGTGTGTGTGCATCTCGTCATAACAATCTCCCCCAGTGGGTGCTAGGATCACGCCCAAGTGATAGACAAGGGGTGAGGTAACCGGTCCAAGGTCACCCAAGTGAGTTCCCGAGGCTGCCCGGACGAGAGCCTGAGCTCTCTCCGCTTTCCCTGCCTTGCCTGCAGGCTGGACACCCCCTCCCACCCTCGGGGGTCAGGTGGTCCATCAGGCCATTTAACCGTCCCCCAGACGTGAGGGGAGGGCGGCGGCCGCAGTCATGGTCTTGGACAGAAAGCATTTCCTACGGGTTCCAGGCTACACAGGAAGATGAAACTACATTAGACAGTAAATCCTGGGAAAATAAATCTGGATAAAAACACAAGAGCTGTCGCAGGTGACAGGATTAACTGCCCCGTTACTGACATGGACAAATTTAGTGCTACAGGAATAACCCTGTATGTGTTTCTCAGGGAGACAGGTCGGGGGAGGAGAAAGAAAGACCGCTAACGTTCTCTTTATGGAATCTGTCTGAATGGTTACAACAGGCATAACTATTTTTTTGCATGTATCACTCTCACAATATAAGGTGCAGTAAATATGACAGCTACACAAAATGTATTGTAGCGGAAGCCAGGGAGGCCCTTTGGAAGCCATAAGGGAGGAATAAGTTTGAGAAAAGTCTGGCAGGCCTGAAAGGGGGTGGGGGAGGCACTCTGGGTGGCAGAACAGTCTGTGCTAACAGCACACGCTGGCAAGCCCAGGGCAGGCCCAGCCCAAGCGGCGATCCTTCCCCTGATAAAGGGAGGGCGCGCTCTTGTCTCCTAGGAGGACAGCCCGAGCTGGCAGCTGGGTGAGCGGCAGCATCTCACGGATGAGGCATCTGTCTCATGCCGCTGAGGTCACTGCCCTCCAGCCAGCAGACTGCAAGGACATGCCATGGTGGCACTAGGCCTAGTTCAACCCACCTGCTACCCGTCTGCCTGGGTTTCCTCTGAGGGGCTGGGGTGAACTCACTGTCAGACCGGGGAGGTCTGCCCAAGGTCACGTGCAAGCTGATCCTTACAGCTGCTCTGTGTGGCCAGCTGACAGTCCTCACCGGCACTCTGCCTGTGCCCTCTCCTCCTTCCATCTGGGGAAGCTCACCCCAGGCCAGCTGGGACAGCCTGGTACCCCCCCCACAAACACTCCCCCTGGCCTCGCCCACTCCCCACTGGCCTCAGCTCCCTCCTGAAGCCCGCTGGCTGACCCCTTTGTCTTGGGGAAGCTGAAAGCAGCTTGGCCTGGAGCCCAAGAATGCACTGGCCCACGCTCCTGAATTTTTGTCACCCACTCACCTGTCTCCTGGCTGTTCAGGCATTGCCAGGTACCAAGGCCCAAAGGTGAAGGGCCTTTTCCAACTAGTTCCCAGGAATGGGCCTGGGGGGTGAGGACCCCAGGATACACCTCCCAGGGAAGCTCCTGGTCAGTATGACATGGGGGTGGCCCCCGCTGCTGTGTTCGCCAGGCCTGGGTCAGGTCTTCCCGGGCCTGGAGCTCAACCACACAGGAGCCTGAACCACTGTGGCCGCTTCGCAGCCTCTGCGCGGTGAAGGTGACTCAGCAGAGTCAGTGGAGAAAGCATGTGGGTTTGAGGCCTCTCAGCCCCAGGGCTGAACCTCAGCTCCCTCATTTCCTAGGAAATACATTTCCTCTGTGTGTGTGAGCCTCATCCATAAAAAGGGCAGATACAGCCTACGCCGTAGCTTTAATAAAATACAAGTAAACGGCTCAGCACGACCGTGGGCATGCCCTGGTACCTGGTGCATCCAGTGTTTCCGTAAGCAATCACAGGAGCAATAACTACTCTCAAACCCCAGGGAACCCCTAGGACGCCTCTCCCAGTGCTCTGAGCTAGTCCCCCTTCTAGGTGGAGAGCTGGGGCCCCGAGGGCGGAGCAGCTGCTCTGCAGTCACCTGCTGGCTAGGCAGAAGCCTGGGCAGGAAGTCACCTGCCACACCAGCACGTGAGAGCACTTCCTCGGTGCCAGGCTCTGTGCTAAGCACGCTGCCAGTCAAACCTCTCAGGAACTTGGTGGGTGAGGTGGCATCATCACCCCCGTTTTACAGACAAGGAAACGGAGCTGGAGAGAAGCTGGTTCATCAGTTGGAGGCCACATGGGTGAGAGGCTCGCATGCCAGGGCTGCCTGACCCTCAAACCCTGCAGTGCGGCCTCCTGATATCACCAGCGCCTGGACCAGGGCAGGGGCTTGAACACACGGCTCTGGCTGTTCTATGCCCAGTTCAGTGCAGCCCCCCACTCATACCTGACCTTCAGGGGCCGGGTGAATGGAAGGCCAGAGCCCAGGACTGCAGGCCACTCCTCATGGGCCCTGCCACATGGGGGTGGCCTCAGTCCTGACACAGACCCAAGGTCCTCCTGATAAGAACCAGCCCCAGAACAGCAGGGTCAGGATCGCGGGCACCATACACAAGGGCCCGTTCTGGGCCTATTTGGGAAGTTAAAGGGCCTGTCCCTATGCCTTTCTGCCCTGTCCCCTCTCAGGGCTAATGGCTCCCCATCCTGACTGGCAGTGTGTCCTTGGTAAAGTTACTTAAGATTTCTAAGCCTCAGTTTCCTCATCTATAAAATGGGAAACTCAGTGCCTACATCCCAGGGCAGCTGTGTGGACAAGGTGGGGCAGGGAAGGGGGTTAAAGAGACCGGTACAGTGCATAGCACGTAGCAGACACTGAGTAAACGTCGGTCTCTTTCTCTCTTTCCTTCATGCCCCCAATGCTCTGAGCTGTCTGCCTGCAGGCTTTCTCCAAGGCGAGAAGGAAGCCACAACTGCCCTTTGTCCCCGAAGGAGGCGGTGTGGACAGGGGTAAAGACACAGGCCCGGAAGCCAGGCAAGTCCCAGCTCTGCCACCTTCCCCTCTATCTTGAGGATCTGTTTCTTTATTACCAAGCGCCTCCTCGCTTCTCCCCTGCAGGACCCAATGGGTGATATCTACAAAAACACCTCCGTCCACGCTGAAGTGCTGTGCAAAGGGCAAGTGTGAAAAACAGTGACACCATCATAAACGGAGCCTCCACAACGTGCAGGCCGATTCAAACAAAGCACTGTGTATGTATGTATTTTCCCCTTTAATTTTTATAACCGAAAGGAGGCATAGTTCCCATCGTACTGATGGGAGACGGAGCCCAGAGAGGTTGTGGAATTGACCCGAGATCACACAGCAAGAGGACGAGGCAGAATTCGAACCCATCTTGTCCTCTCGCCTGGACGGATCCCCCCCTTTGGTTGACGGTGCTTGCCCAGCTCCCGGCTGTGTCTTTAGGTGCTGGGAAAGGGCGTCCCTGAATTGTAGTCTGGCGACCACAGACAAACTGGCCTTTTTAGCTCCAGCTTCTGAAGTGAAAGGCACTTGGGTAGCATAAAGCAGGCGGGGGCTTTGCTATCCCGACATACAGAGCAGCGAACCGTGTTCTGATCCTCAGGAACACAAGAAGGAGGCTGTGTTAGGAAGGGGGCTACTTAGGGGCCCTGCCCAGGAGCTGCTGGGGGCCAGGAAGGAGTGGTGGGTGGGTTTCACCGAGCGGCTAGTGGCGGCGGCGCCCCCTGGGGTGGGAAAGAAAGGAAAGGTCTCCTTTCATCTAAAAGACAAAATTGCTGCCCTGGCCAGGTAGCTCAGTTGGTTAGAGCATTGTCTCAATACCCCAAGGTTGCAGGTTTGATCCCCGGTTAGGGCACATTGAAGTATCAACCAATGAATGCATAAATAAGTGGGACAACAAATTCATGTTTCTCTCTCTCAAATCAATTAAGATATTTAAAAATAATTTTAAATGAAAAGACACAGCTGCCTGAAATTCATAACCGTCAAATTAGAATCTTTTATCTTTTAGAAAACTTTCCCACCAGAAGGTTTCTGGCCCTTTTGAGATTTGTCCCCTTTTAGACATCTTCTTCTATTTTACCTTCTTTCAAAAATTTTATTGTATTTTACCTACTTTTGAGTATCTTGAGGGTTGGTTATTTTTAAACTTAATATGTATTTGTCAAATCTAAGTTCTCTTACTGATGGATTAACTGACTGGCTTTTCATGATATAACCTCTCCCACCATTTGGGGCCCCAGGATGGGGTCAGCAAGAGAGAGAGAGATGATGGCCAAGATTTCGGTTGCTAAGGAGTTCAAGCCAGGACCTCTGCATGTCACAGCACTTGCGTATCGTGATTTCACGCTGAGGACGGCCCCAACGCGCAGTTAATTCCACACACATTATCTAGGGATACAGCTGCAAACAAGACAGACATGGGATTCTAATCTAAGCATAAAACCATCAAAACCAAGGTCGACTAGAAGTGCTGAAGGCCTCACAAGGAGCAAAGAGAACTTTGACTAGAGGCTTATCAATTATCAGGAGGCCAAGGAAGGCTGCTGCCTCAATGAGTAACTCTCAGATAAACTGTTAGGACTTTTATCTGCTCACAACCTTAAAATCAGCCTTGATTCCTTTCACTCACAACTTGCAAAAAAAAATCAGTCAAAACTAGTCAACAGCTGAGTTGCAGCTTGAAGTCACAAAAGCAAAGACCACGCTGCTAGTTTTTGGTGCACCTACTATGTGCACACATGCCGTGCTAACACTCGACATGTGTGCTCTCTAGTTCTTCAGACTCTGCAGTTGGGGTATGATTAGTCCTGCCGTACAGATGAAGAAACTGAGGCTCAGAGATAAGTGACTTCGGCACACAAGTGATAGGACCGGCATTCTAACCACTTTCACGTACTCCAAAGCCTCTCTCTTCCCCTCCAGCCAAGCTCCTCTGTTGACTGGCCTGGCCTGGCCACATAGGTCCTGCTCACGGCCCCCCTGCAGGATGCTTACCGAGGAGATGCTTGATGATGGCTTGGTTGTGCTCCCAGAGGTTGCTGAATGTCCCCCAGCGAGAGTGGCCGTCAGGAACGGGGTTGGTTTTGATCCAGCCGCCGCAGGCATAGGTGAAGAAGTCCTGGCAGGGGTCCACCCTGGGGTCCATGGAACTCAAGATGGAGCTGGTCACTGAGACGCAGGCCTGGCTGAGGCACACCGGGGGCGCTCCTGGCAGGGGACAAGCACAGGGGCCAGTGAAGGGCAGGCAGGAGGAGGCTGCAGGAGTCTCTGGTTCCAGCCCTGGTGCGCCACGCCCCACTCTGGTCCTGACCAAACAGATGACGAGTTGGATGGTCCATAGACCCCTCCCGAGAAATGATCTCTGTAGATTCTCTATTTCTTGGCTTATAAAATAAGACTTTGGTTTAGCTGCCTAAAATCCTTTCTATAGCTTAAAAGATTTTACAAGTCCTTCCCTCTGCAAATATCCACTGACTTTTTATTGTTTCCTGGTGTTCAGCAAACTCATTCACTCATTCATTTGTTCAACAAGATAATGACTGAGTACCTTTCAGGTTCTTGCTGAGCGCAGTGTGTGTGTGTGTGTGGGGGGGGGGGGTGGTGGTGGTGGTGGTGAGGGATATGAAAGGTGTAGTCCTTTCCTTCAAGAGCCAGTAAGTTAGTCGGGGATACACATCATAAAGGAAAAGTCAAAAGACAACAGTGAGAGAAACATCTATCATTCATTCTACAAACATAGGCTGAGTGTACTTAGTATGTGCCACACGGGTAGTACAGACTCTATGGTGCCGGGACTCAGGAAGAAGGAAGACTTTCAAGAATAGAAGGAACTATAAAAAATCATTCCCACTGAGCACGAGGCAAGAGGGTGACCTCACTGAATCCTCAAAAGAACCAAAACCGAAACAACCCTGAGATCATTTTGCGTAAGGCCATTTTCGCAGAGGAAACTGAGGCACAGACAAGCTAAGCACCCTGCTTAGTAGCCAACGGGATCTGAAGCCCACCCTCTCCCTGTCTGCTCTGGGCCTAGAAGGGAGCTCTCCTGGCGAGGTGTGGCCTAAGGAGGGACAGCAGTTGGTGCATACAGGTGGGCAGTGGGCAGGACTGCAAATCCTACAAGTGCCCCCAAAACACCATGAGCAGAGAAGTCAGCTTCCTCTGAGCCGGTTCTCACAAACGTGGGCAGAGGGCTGTCCGAAGGCCAAGGGCAAGAGGAGCGAGCCGAACCCCTGCCTCAAGTTCCATCCGCAGGCTCTAAGCAAAGGAACCGAACTGCGGGCGGCCTCCGCGGTGACTCAGCCCGAGGTAGCTGACTCCAGGAGACAGAGGCCGAGGCCCAGGCTGGTGACTAAGAACAGGCCCCGCGGAGTTGTCTGTTGACACAGCTGTGCCGGCGACAAGAGGGACGTTTCCTGATCGCAGCTCTGCGCCGGGTACTTCACGCACATTCGTGATCGCATGCAGGCCTCAGGACAAGCCTCAGATACAGGCGTCCCGGCCCGATTAAAGATGAGGAAACTGAGGCTCTGAGCGAGAGAGGGGGACAAGGTCACGCAGCTGCAGGCAGAGCAAGACTGAACCCAGCCCGTACCGCTGCAGCAACTCCATGGCTGGGGGTTCTGGCCGGGGGTTCCCGCTTTCTCTCGCTGCCTCTTTGCCGGGAACACGGGATGGATGGGGGGCAGCGGGGCTACTACACCCCTGGTGAGTTCATCTCCCCCCTACACAGGGAGGAGTGAGGCAGGGCAGGCACTGTGAGCTCAGACCGGGTTCAATTCCCAGCTTCTGCTTCTGGCTGTGGGCCTCGCACCCGTGACCACCTCTCTCGGAGCCTCAGTTTCTCCATCTAGAAACGAGGGGAACAGCAGGACCAGTTTCACAGAGATGATGCAATGACCTCAGGGCCGGGCACGGGGCTCAGCTCGCTCGGGTCTTAGGGTGCCAGGCTCCCAGGCCAATCTTTAGAGAGGAGAAAAGATGGCGCCTGCTGGCCGGGGCAGAGTCACCTCACCCGGAAACAGACGGCCCACCGAGTTGAGTGGCCTGTAGGCGTCTAACATCTTCTAAAAACGCAAAGGCCTCCGGGTCAAGCAAGGGTTTGGAGGAGCTGTGCAACAGCCCAAAAATCAGGGTGACTTTATTTTGAGGTAATTACTTGTTTTGAGATGCCTATACAACAATTAAAAATTATTGAGCCATTAGGCATGAAAACAGAGGAGAAAACGGTAGGAACCTGTCTAGATTGATCATCTTAAGCAAAGTTGCCCCACTGCCCACCAGGGAAGGCACCGGAATCTTTACGGGAGTTGTGGGTGGGAGTTGCGCAGGAGGGGGGTAATTTCCGTGTGGTTTGAAAAAGCCTATTCACTATTATGATATGAGGAAAATAATACTTATTGTTTTTGTACAACCAACTTCAGGAAGTAAAGCCTGACAAACTCTTGGCTGCTGGGAATGCCCAGAAGTCGGCGTGAGAGGGCGATCCTCAGAGAGCAAGATCCACCAGAGTGTGTGTGTGTGTGTGTGTGTGTGTGTGTGTGTGTGTGAGAGAGAGAGAGAGAGAGAGAGAGAGAGAGAGAGAGAGAGATCTGTAGTTATCAAAAGGGGACTTGGTTTAAAACAAAGTATTATAAGAAATCAGTTCCCAGGAATGGCCCGAGTTAATGGCCCACTTTAAGCACCTATTCTGCTAGGCACAGGGCAAGGTCCCTAAGTGGTGCTTAAGCCATAAGCTTTGATAATTTAACTATTTGATGGTTTGTAGGTCCTTTACCAACCAACCATTCCTAACCGGAAGGCACTTTATGCATATTTGATTAATTGCTTCCTCATCTGATGTCAAGGCTCCATCTCCTTGGGGAAACCTTCCCAGACCCTCATCCCTCTCTGGCTGCCTGGCTGTTGAGATCTGATCACAGACTAAGGGGTGTCATGGCTGTCTCCCTGTCTACCTCCCCCACTGGAATGTGAGCTGGAGGGGAGGGAAGCATCTGATGTGCTTTTATATTTCCTTTGCTCAGCATTGTACTTGGCACCTAACACTGTCCAATACATATTTGATGAATGAATGAATGAATGAATGAATGAATGAATGAGCGAGCTTTGTCCAGCACTTGGTCACCACCTGTAGGAGTAGAAAATATTTCTTCCCTTTAGAATGGGCATCATCACTCAAGAGAGCAGGTCCCAGGCACTTGTCTGGACAGTACCTGGCCTCCACACTGAGTTTGTGTTGCTGCTGCTGTTTGTAAAGCACCTGCACGTTTCTAGAAGGGAGGGTGCAGTAGGAAGGTGGATAAATATGTATTTAAGAGCACAGACATAACTTATAGGTGGGTCTTCCAGACCGTACAGAGAATTTGCTTTGTCTGGCTTTATGTTTGCTCAGATGTGGCCGGTGCCAGCACCTGCTGCTGGGTAATGAGGTTATAGTCAATATCCGGGGTGGCCACTGCTTTCCCAGGCCCGGGCAGCTAACGAAAACACATGGATTGGCTTATGGGTCACCTGATCCTGACCCAGCTCCACCCAGAGTTCCTTTCACCCAGGTACAGGCTGGGAAAATCCTGCTACGTCCCTGAGAAGGCTGGGATGGAGGCAGAAACAGGATTCTTTCCCGTGGGCCCCTCTGCAGCCCGATCACAAGGAGCCACCCTTTGGGGGTCCCTTCTGGTTTCTGGTGGGGAAACATCTTGGGAACTCCTGGGCCAGTCTCAGGGTGACACTGGCTGCTGGAGCCTCGCCTGCTCCCCAAGTACAGAGCCAGGAGGTGGGCAGAGGAGGGTGGGCAGAGTCCATATTACCCGACAGAGTATTCTGAACCGAAGCTGATATTTAGGCAAGATAGTGCCTCAAGCAAAATGGCGGCTACCGGACAAGAGCGATTGGTAGAGAAAGGCTGTTACCAGCTTTTCCTCCTCCTTGTCCACTGTGTCCTTTATTTATTCAATTTGCAAACGACTTGCACACCTATGGCAGTGCAGGCATTATGCTAAGTATATATGCTTAAGAGCATGGACATCTTTAATCAAATGTGCATGAAGCTCCTGGTGAATGAATGAATGAATGAACATAACTTGATACAGGAGGGTTTAGGTGAGACTCAGATAAGTTCTGCCCTCTCTCCAGGCCCCCAAACCTTTTTCTCATCCCAGTCCAGCAGGGCCACCAGGAGGGCCAGCACCTTCGCAGTGGACAAGGCCCAGCGAAGCCTGGGTGGCCATCCCCAGATCCTGAAAAGGTTCACAATCTCTCTGATGGGATGAGTGACCAGGTGGCCAAGTCTGTGGGGTTGGGCCCTCAGGTCAACCGAGGCTGTTCAACAAAGTGGAGAATCTGCCTCCGGAAGACGAGGCGCTGGGGCCCAGGGAGGGAGAAGCCTTGAGACCAACTGGACTCCCCACCCTTTCTAGCTCCATAAACACCGACTGAACATCGAGTCTGTGTGAGGCACTGGGCTGGGTTCTCTCAGCCACAGAGAACCAGCCTGGGGCCCCGCACAGCAGGATGGAAAGGGCCCCAATCACATCGCTATACAAGATAGGACAGCAGGATGTGATTACAGAGGTCAGCTGGGTCACGGGAGGACAGCTTTTCGGGGAGTCCCCACACTGGTGCACCCAGATTACAAAAGGAGGCAGAGCCTGGGCTCTGGGGCCCAAGGGCCTGTGGTTGAATTCCACTTCCCCTTCCCCCCTGTATAACCTCGGGCAAGTCGCTGCCTCAACTTCCTCATACAGAAACCGGGGCCACCAGTAACCACACCTCCCGGGGCTGCTGTCAGGAGGAGGAAATGAGGCTACTCTAAAGATGAGGTGCGGCATTCGGTCCATGAACAGGATTAAGTAAACGGAAGTCATGATGGCTGTTTTGTTGGGACTAAGGATGGCAGGCAATGCCAGCCTGGGTGTCTCACCAGCCCACATACCCTAACGACAGCAGCACCCACCGCTGAGGTTAAGGGGTCCTGGCAGGCACCAAGTCCGTCTACACGTGACCTCTAACCCTCCAAGCCACCCCCAGACTGGGCACCATTGTCCCTCTTCAAGTGGAGAAGACACAAACTCTGAGAGATGGAGTGCCCTGTCCGAGGCTATCCTACAGCTGTAAGTTGCTGAGCTGGGATTTAGACTCATGACCTCTGGACACGGAAACCTTCACGCCACCCATACCACCCACCCTCCAGGTCTCAGCGACCAGAGTCTGCCAGCTGTGGCTCCCTCTGGGGCCTCAGGGGCCAGTCTCAGGGGGCCCCTTGCACAGGTGGACAGAGCTGAGGGTAGGGATGCATCAAGCCCACAATGAAACCCAGAGGCACCTACTTGTCCGGTACTGGATGCTCAGCACGGCCACACAGGCCACCAGTCCCGCCGCCAGGAGCGCCACCAGCACCACCAGCCGCTTCTCCACCTGGGTCCGCTCGGCCCAGCATCTCTGGCCGCTCCGGGGGCTGTGGAAGTTCACCTGCAGGGAGGCAGGCAGGGGGGGTGGGGAGGGCATGAGCCCAGGGCCCCCCCTCCCCAGGAGGAAGGGGCTCCAAGGCAGGCCCAGGCCCCGGGGAGACATCGGGGTGGCCCTCCTGCCTCAGGGGTGGTCTGGTTCCCACAGCCTGGGTCCTAATCCAGGACAGGAACCGCCAGCCACCCTGCTCGGCAGCTCCGATTTGCTCCTGAACTTCAGAGAGCCAAGTAGCTCAGCCCAGCTGGGCTTGTGTGTTTTTTTGAGTCACCCGATATGGGCAGAAGGAAAAAAATAAAAATAAAACACACCAGCTTTCCCCTGCTTTTCCAGTAAGGAGCTCAGAAAAGGACAGGATGTTTGGACTTGCAGGCATCCAGCGGGTGGCCAGCTTGGCTCTCTCGGAGGCCCAGCACCGTCTGGCTGGGACAATATGCCACAAGGAGGGCGCCACCCCAGCTCCCACAGCCCAGGATTGTGGGCGCCCTGAGCTCACTGACTCCCCACCGCCCCACCAGGGCTGTTACTAGTTCTCCTTTCACAAATGAGAACATGAAAGTCCCGAGAGGGAAGACCCTGCCCTCGCCGCACAGCCCAATGGGCGGCATGGGATCTGACCCCGCGTGTGCAGATTCTGGGGCCACCGGCGGGTCAGAGATTTGCATTTTGGGAAGATGTCAGGAGAGACGCCATGGAGAAATAGCTCCATCCAGGCAGGCCTCAAAGGGAGGAAAAATGTCCCCAGCCCCACAGCCTACACAGGAAGGGAGGCACAATGAGAGGAAGTGGAGGGCGTGGCGGGGCCCTTGGGGCTCCCCTCCGTTCCAGGAGGTACTTTGGGCAAAAGCGAGGGCCACAGTGCAGGAGGGGGTCCCCTGAAGGCGGGGTCACTTGGTTCAGTGATCTCATGGCTGTGTGCCAATGGCTGAGCACCAACTCAGGGCCATGGTGGAACCATGGAGAGGAAGACAGACTCCCTCTGTTCAGGGGCTCACAGCCCAGAAGAGAGGCAGATAGACACAGGCTGGGTGGGCAGGGAAGGCTTCCTGGAGGTGGGTGGGGTCTTAAAGAATAAGTAGGAGCTGGTCAGGTGAGTGGGGGAGGGAACTGGAGAGTGGCAAGGCCAAGATCCAAAGGGGCACCTTGTAAGATGGTTTAATATATATACATTTTTTTTTAGAGAGAGAGGAAGGGAGAGGGATAGAGAGTTTGAAACATTGATAAGAGAGAAACATCGATCAGCTGCCTCCTGCACACCCCCTACCGGGGATGTGCCCACAACCAAGGTACATGCCCTTGACCGGAATTGAACCTGGGACCCTGGAGTCTGCAGACCGACGCTCTATCCACTGAGCCAAACCAGTCAGGGCCTGTAAGCTGGTTTAAAGAATGCAAACTGGAGTGACACGATTGGGTCTGCCCCTTGGAAAGGCCCAGGTGAAGGGAGCAAGGCTTGGTGGCAGAGACACCGCAGCCTGCCAGGGGTGGGGAGGCAAAGGAGTCGCCAGGGGAGATGGGGGGCCCCAGGCTGTGACCTGCAAGTGCCCCACCAACAGCCAGGCCACCCCAGGGCCTCACACTGGCCCTGGGGGACCTCGGGCTGGTCACCCGGGAACGGAAGGGCGCTGAGTGGCCTCCTGGTCACCGCTGGGCATTGTCTGGCCAGGAAATGACGAGGAATGGCTGCACCAGAGAAAGAGGAACACACGAACTTCTCGTGAAAGGAAAACTGGTTTCTGAAAACGAGAAAAGGAACCTGGGGCCCAGTCACAGTTTCCACAGAGATCCAGGAGGCTCAGAAACGGAAGCAGATGCACCGGTGGGGGAGGGGGGCTGCCCTCTAACCTCCTTTCAGAACCTTTCTGAAAGGTGAGAAACGAGGATTCTGACCACGGTGCTACCGGGAAGGTCACACCGGGCTGGGAGGCCTGGTGCGGAGACAGAGCCTGGGATGATGCTGACACGTCCGTGCACCGGGAGGTGACCAGATCGTCCCGCTTTTGGCGGGACAGTCCCGAATTTTAACAATTTTACCCGAGTCCCGCGGTGTTTTTTTTTTTTTTTTTTTTTAAAAAGCCCCGATTTCCAAAAAGCAGAACGCAGGAAAAACTGTTAAAAGTCGGGACTATCCCGCCCAAACCGGGATGATCTGGTCACCTTAGTAGAAGTGCCTCTGCCCAGGCATCTATTTTCTCACAGTTCACCTTGTATTCAGAGGGGCCCCAAAGGATACGTGACATCTATTCTCCGTCTCCCTGCTGTCCTGCCCCCGGGCTTGTGCCACATTCTGCGTCCTGCTCAAGGCCTCTCCGAGCCCCACGATCAAGGCTCAGCTCGATCACGGCTTAGCTCGTGGGGGAGGCGTGCAAGGCAGAGGCAGGGAGCGCCGTGCCAGATGCAGGCTCTCAAAAGCCGGGGAGCACAGGCAGCAAGAGGAGGGAGCGGGAACCCTGCCCTTAGGTGGACAGAGCAAAGGCGGGACAGGTGGGGAGTCTGAGGAGGTGCAGGGCGAGAAGAAACAAAAGGAACCGAGGGAGGGAGGAAAGGAGAAAAGAGTAACAAGGCGGCTAATATTTGAGTGCTTCCTGAGTGCCTGGCACTGGGTTGATTCCACTTTGTTGCTATTATAGATGGTGCTATCCTCCCTGAGAGCAGGTATGAGCATTAGGTCAGAAGGAACACGGACGTGGCGGGGGTGGAGGAGGGAGACGGCGAGAGAGGCCACCTCTCACCAGAACCCACAGCCTCTGCTGAGGGCTGTGCTGCCCCAGGAGCAGAGTCGAGCTGAGCCTCTCTGTTTAATGACAAGCATACAGACAGTGTTCACGGTAAAATCCATTAAGAATTCAGTCAGAATTAAATTAGAAATTCACGGTGCCAGGCAGACATGGCACCCGGAATTTGAAAATACGGTTTTTGACTTCTGTAACGGTCTTCGCTGGACTTGTACTGCCCGGCTGAGGGCCTCTTGGCTTCTGGACCTGCCCTAACCCACCTCGGAGGGTGGAAGGAATCCAGAAGCATCCCCGGGGCAGAAGTCACCTGGAGGCACGGGGCCCGGTCCGGAGACCTCTCCAGGAGGGCTGTCCCATTCCTGGGGGTAAAGCTGAGCTGCTGGCCAGTCCTTCTCCTGGCCGAGCCCCCGGGGTCCTGCCCCACCTCCTTCAGAGAACCCGGCAAGATGGCTCACAGCCAGGGGAGAATGCACACGGTTTCTCAGGCTGCTCTGGGAAAGGAGGGCACGTCAATCACCAGTCTGCGGCGGCGGCGGCGGCGGCTGGCAGGGGAGGAGTGTTAGCGGCAGGCGGCCCACTCCACCTTGGGTACGTGACCCTCGGCCCCGGTGCAGAGCGGATGCTCAGATGATGGAGCTGAGAATCGCTGTAAATGCTCCGCTAGTCGGTGGGCTCCCCATCCCACTTATTGCCGGGGGAGGCAGAGAGAGAGAGTGAGACAGAAGGAAAAGGAGGCCCTCGAAAGAGAGAGGCAAAGAGGGAGACAGAAGGAGAGACGGGCAGAGCCAGAGAGACAGACGGGAGTAAGAGGAGCAGCCGAGCCGTGCAGTCCAGGTTCCCAGGGTTTCCACAGCCAAGGGAACAAAGCCCAGATGAGGGATAAAGATTCGGTTACAGAAGTGAGCGCCTGGCTCGCCGAGGCTTATGGCCAGAACGGGTTCTGCAGGCAGCTGTGCGGGCACGGACAGGCCACCGCTGCCCGGGGCCCCGGAGGCAGGCCAGCAGCAGGAGTGGATGGCGGGCAAAGCCTGCTTTTCAGACCAAGCAGGGGGTCAGGAGGGATGGCGGTGGCTGAACCACCACCAAGCCCCCGGCGACCTGGGCTCCCTGGAGCAGGAAAGAGGCGTCGGTCTGGCCGAGGGTTTGGCAGGGAGCTCACCCCCCACAGCCCAAGAGCTTGGCCACCCTCTGAGGCCTGGCAGAGCGGCCAGGCTGCCTGCCCCGGAGCCAGCCTTTCAGAGCAGACAGACCATGACAGCTTGGCCCTGGGTGGCACTCTGCCTCCGTGAGGGTGTTAGGCTGGGGAGGTTTCTTCTAGAAGTTTCCGTATGGCAGACTTCTGGCTGAGGACACTGAGGCCAGTCTGGAGCAAAACTGTAACCTCTGGTCCTCTCCATCTCTACTCTGAGCCCCACCCAGCCCCCGGCCACCAAGCCTGACCCTTTCAGTGACTGAGAACAGCTTAAAGGAGCAGCTGTTGCAGAAGACAGACCTTACATCTTAGACAGAAATCGAAGTCTGCTATCCAGAGAAGCTCTCTCCAGCTCCCTGTGCTTCCCAGAAGGATGCCAGTGGAGCAAGAGAAAAGGTCGCCCTGGACTCCATTGGCGTCACGAGGCAGTCTCTGGGCCTTGGTCCCCTATCTTTAAAATAAGCGCACTGGCCCGGCCCACATGGCCCAGTGGTTGAGCATCAACCTAAGAACCAGGAGGTCACGGTTCGATTCCTGGTCAGGGCACAGGCCTGGTTTGTGGGCTTGATCTCTAGTATGGAGATGTGCAGGAAGAAGCCAATCAATGATTCTCTCTCATCATAGATGTTTCTAGCTCTCTCTCCCTCTCCTTTACTCTCTGAAATGAATAAAAATATTTTTTAAAATGAGTACACTGGAGGAGGTCCCAGGTCTGACCACCTCAGATTCTAGAACAACTCCAAGGCCCAGAGTGTGAGTCCCTAACAGGCGGGTGGAGTTGAAACATCTTTCAAAGTCTGGAGTGGGACTGCCCCTGAAGTCATGCTTGAAAGACAGACCTGTATGTGGCGGGGGGTGGGGAGGGGGGGAATAAAAAAAGCGAAAACCACTAAGAATTAAATGTAAAATATAAGCCTTCTTTTTTGGTATGAAAAAACGAATTTTTAGAAGTCACTGGATGAGTTTTAAAGGTTTTGGTAAACGGCCACGGCTCCCCGGCTGAGGCTGAGGAGTAACGTTGGCTTTCCGGCTTTAAGCCGCAGACAGGGAGTGCGCGGGGGCCGGCCGCCCGTCGGAGCGGAGCACAGGCTCCCAGAGAACAGCTCCTCTATGCAGGGCATCACGGAGACATCACGCCCCGTGAGTTTCGATGCTGCTGCTGCGAACAGCCACATCCATTGCTGTGCCCTGTACAAAGCCTGTCCTTACACTGTCTCACACCAGCCTTTGCAACAGCGCTGAGAGGCGGATTAATAATGTTAACCCCACGTTGCACAAAAATAAAAAATAAAATAAAAAAGCTGTCCAAGTGAGTTGCTTCTAGGTCTGAGGGCCCATGAGGGGCAAGGCCGGGGCTCCGGGTCAGAGCCAGCTGACTGTGAATTCTGCACGCCGGCCACAGTGACTGATTTTGGGGACTCACAATGAATTGTGACTGAAATGTGAGATAAAGGAAAAGTAAACCCCTTTCAGATGAGGTACAGGGAGAAGTTGGCTCCGGCTAAAGTCAACATTTCGTTGGTGTCTTCAGCAATGAAGGTGGCAAGTTTGGCTGAAAGATGTGAGTGTTCATTGGCCAGTATCCGCATCAGTCACTGGCGTCGGTAGAACCAATGGGCTCCAAAGTCTTGAAAAACCAAGCAGCTTATTTATATAGCTGCCTGTCAAGAGAGGAAGATTCGGGAGGACTGGGTCCATTTTAAAAAGCCTAAACGGGAGGGTACAGTTGTGTTTCTAGCAAACAACTCATAGGAAATTATCCAAAAGGCTAAAAGAGGGTCAACAGTAGTATTACAGCCGAAACTGGTTTGGCTCAATGGATAGAGTGTCAGCCTACGGGTTGAAAGGTCCAGGGTTCGATTCCAGTCAAGGGCATGTACCTTGGTTGCGGGCACAGCACCGGTAGGGGGTGTGCAGGAGGCAGCTGATCAATGTTTCTAACTCTCTCTCTCTCCCTTCCTCTCTGTAAAAAGTCAATAAAATATATTTTAAAAACAAACAAACAAAAAACTTAGTAGTGTTACAGTGTTTGGGCCTATTGTCCAACTATAGTGATTGACAGTATTTTTATACATTGGTGCCAAGAGGTATTACGGTTTTTAAAAATACACTTTTTATTGATTTTTAGAGACAGAGAAAGGGAGGAGAAAGAGAAACAACGATGTGAAAGTGAAACATCGATCTGCTGCCTCCTGTACGCCCCCAACTCGGGATTGAGCCCAAAACCCAGGCATGTGCCCTGACTGGGAATTGAACTGGCAACCTTTCCGTGCAAGGATGATGCTCAACCAACTGAGCCACACTGGTCAGGCTGAGGTACTATGTTTTGTAATGGCAGCATGTTTTGGAGGTTTTTAACAACCTCCAAAGAGAAAAATGCTTATTCAGTGGCATTCAATGAGAAAAGCAGGATGCAACTTTATATCTTCAACTATGTTTAAAAATACATACATGCAAATATAAATAACCAGAAGTGGTTATCTGCGAGCAGTGGGATTACTGTTTATTTTTAAATCTTTTTTTTAATACTGGATTCCCTTCTACCCCCACAAATGAGCATGTAAAGTCGATATACTGGGGAAAAAACCCAATGACTAAACACATAAAATTAGCCCTAGCCAGCTTGGCTCAGTGGATAGAGCATCGGCCCCGAGGACTGAAGGGTCCCAGGTTCGATTCCGGTCAAAGGCATATACCTTGGTTGCAGGTTCCCCGGGCCCTGGTTGGGGTGCATGCAGGAGGCAACCAATAATGTGCCTCTCCATGCTTCCTTCTGTCTCTCCCTCTCCCTTCCACTCTCTCTAAAAATCAATGGAAAAATATCCTCGGGTGAGGATTTACAACAACGAAAAAATCCCAAAAGACAAAAACCATAAAATTCATAGAAAGCTCTGCTTTGTCAGAGGTGGGTGGGTAGGTTCTCGAGTCTCAGGAGAAAAAGCACTGGATTGGGGCGGTTGTGGAGGCTTAAGGCAAGCCAGACTGGGGACCCACAGAAATGCCCCGAGTCCCTGGGGCAACTTTTCCGGCTTTTCCTGTATAAGGAGGGAGCAACGCATCCAGTTTGGTGTAGGGCACCAATACTCACTCCAAACCAAAAGATATCTCTGCGACCACCGGAATCTCCCTGATCTCTCCAGCCTCAGCTTTACTGTGCGCAATATGGCCGCAGGGGCGCTTACCTCATAGGTCATAAAAGCAACCATCCTGGCAGGCCTGTCCTGTGCATTACGCCCATTTTACAGATGAGGAAGTTGTGGTTTAAAGGGAGAGTAAGCAGCTCCCCCAAGACCTTGAGAATGGAGTCAGAACTTAAACTTGAGCCCCCGGCTTCAGGGACAGAGCTGCCTTCAACTCAGGCCAGGCAGCCAGGGACACACACACACACACACACACACACGCACGCACGCACTCCGTGATCTGAGAAGGGCCGTACCCACGTGGGCTGCCATTGTGACGGTAACACCACGGCACATTAGTTTGTTGTGCATTCCAAATGTTTTTGTGCTGATATATTTAGGACCTGCTATGGAAGATGAGACCAAAGAGATTGCTGATTAGATTCTGTTTTGATTGGTGAAGGAAAAAGTGCCTGCCACAGGAATCTCATTTCCGGCGGGATTTAGCCCCTTTGAAGAAGTGTCCGCGGGGAGGAGGTGCTGGACGGACTGGGTTTGATTTCTCACTCCCAGGATCCTCCACAGAGCAGGCTTCCCTCGCAGGGCCTCAGCTCCCTCGCGGGAAGTGGGAAAAGTAACCCCCACAGCTCCTGGGGTGGCCCCGACGGGGAAGGAGGAGGATGTAGGTAAGGGCAGGGTCATGAGTTCGGGTCTCCCGGGACCGATCTAACTAGCTTGGAGGAAAGACAGGCCCCACCGGGAAAGAGCGGAAAGCAGCCCTGCTCACCGCTGAGCCACAGACAGGGAGGTGGTGAAGACCCGCTGCTGAGAAGTGGCAGGGAAAGGGGGCAGAAGATGGTACACCCCCCGCCCCCCATCCTTCAGGTATCTGGGTGGGAAGAGGAACAGAGTAAGCTACCAGACAGGGTGACCAACTGCCCAGGGTGCCCAGGGCCAAGAGAGGGGTATGCCGGCAGTTTTAGACTCTGCCAGTCACACAGGCTGTGTGGTCCAGGGGAGCCCCTCAGGGCCCCGGACAGGCCTCCCCTGTGAAAGGGGATGGGACCAGTGCAGCTCGGAGGGCAGGGAGAATGCGGGCTTCACCTCTGCCACCCCGGCTGTAGTTCCCCAGTTGGCGGGGAGGCTTCTGGAGGATTCGGGAAGGCAGAGCTGATGAGGGGAGGCTGGTGGGGAAGCTCAGCGCCCCGGGGTCACTTTTGCCCCAGAAAGGCTCTGACCCCTCTGGGGCAGGCAGGATGGGGCGGAGGTGCGCGGGAGGGGGAGGATGGAGGGGAGGGGGGAGAGAAGGGGAACCCCAGTGCGCATGCCCAGTCCCCCCCACCCCACGGGGGAGTCTCCCGGGGGGCGGGCTCCTACCTGCAGGCCGTTCGGGTACCCGTCGCCGCCCTCGGAGAGCGAGTCCACCAAGTCCTCCTCGTCCAGCGTGGCCCGCTTGTAGGTCGACATCTGCAAGGCCAAGTGCAGCACGGACTCCCTCAGCGCCTCCATGGCTCTCGCCCCGAATGGGGAAGCGGCCGGGCGCACGGCTGCCACCGCCGCCGCCGCCACCTCCACCGCCAGCACCGCCACCTCCGCCTCCGCCGCGCCCCGCCCCGGCCCGGACACCGGACCAGCCCACCGGCAGCCCGCCGGGGAGGGTCCCGCCTCCCAGCACCCTGCACCCTGCACCCTGCGCTTCTGCAACTCCGCGCTCAGCCCAGAGCCCTCATCCCCAGCGCCCACAGCGCTGCACCCAGAGACGCGGGCCCGGCAGGTCTGGGCGGCTGGGCTGCGGGCCCGGCACTGCGCCACCTTCGCGGGCGGAGCCAGGTCCGTGCACAGCTCAGGTCCCCTCCGCGCCCACCAGGAGACCCCCGAGGCCCCGGGGAGACTCCCTTTCCCGGGGATCAGGGCGCAGCGGCAGGAAGGGGCCTGGCAGCAGCCTCTCCGGTGGGAAACCTTCTAAGGTGACCAGACGTCGCGATTTTTAACCATTTTTCCCGCATCCCGCAGCGTTTTAAACAAGTCCCGATTTTTGGGACGCGGGACAAATGGTCAAAATCGGGACTGTCCCGCCGAAAGCGGGACGTCTGGTCACCTTACCTTAAGCCCCGTCAGTAATGCCCGATGGCAGCCACCAGGAACCAGGTGTTAGGGAGGTGCCCCTAGTTTGGCCCATAACAGTGTGTGGTCCCTCCCACCGTTCCGCGGGGGTCCCCTCCTCTGAGCTGCAAAGATGAGCGGGGAAAGAAGAGGTAGAATGAAAAACACGGGTATCTCCTCTTCCCGTCCTCTAGCTCTTTAAGCCAGAGTTCATGAATGGTTTCAGAAATTCCAGAGCACTCCCCTGACATGGAAAGAAAAAAAAGCTGAGAGCACATTTGGGTGGCTGGAGGGGAATCAGAGCCTGCCCCCAAGCCCCAAGCTGTGACTCCCTCCCCCTGTCCCCCCGCCCCCCGCAACCCTCAGCTCAGGTCTATCAAGGAGACAAAAGCCTCAAGCAGGTCTCTCTCTCCAGCCCGAGGCCTCCCAGGGGCCCCGGGACCTCGGCTGGAAAAGTGGGCTCTCCCTATGCGGGTGCTTTACCCATGTTCCCTTGCACCCAAGTCCCTAACCCCTCCACTTCAAGTGAGACCTGGACTCCCCTACATTTTCCCAGCTCCCCCAAAGCACTTCTGCTCATGTCCCTATTTGATCCCTATGAAGCCACAGGCTCAGAGAGGGTCACAGCCACCCCGACAGCGCCTGGTCCACTCCTGCCAGCCCCGAATCCTCTCCGCAGCCACAGCGGGGCTTTCAAAGGGGAATGCGAGCCCTGTCATCCCCTGGCTTACAGCTCTGCAGGGACAGTCCCCCGTGACCCTGCCCGCCCGATCCTCACCTGTGTTGTTTCCCACCTCACTCTCCTACACCCTCGCTGTGTGGCCCTCATGGTTGTTCAGATTCTCCAAGTTTCTCCTCCCCCCATCCAGACACTAATTGATTGATTGATTGATTGAATACATTTTTATAGATTTTTCTTAGAGAGGAAGGGAGCAGGAGAGAAGTATCGATGTGATAAACACCTATCGGCTGCCTCCTGCATGCTTCTACTGAGGATGGAGCCCACAGCCTGGGCATATGTGTGCCCTGACCAGGAACTGAACCCGAGACCTTCTGGTGCCCTAAGTAGCCCCTCAAATTTGGTATCACAGCGCCCCATTATTTCCCTTTTAGTGTTTATTGCAGCCCGCTATTACTCCTTTTTTATTTTATTATTATTATTATTACATTTATCTCCTGTCCCTTCCCCAGAATTGTGAGCTTTATCTGGACTAGGCAGAGAATCCCATCACTTGGCTACTGCAGGGGCTCAGAAAACAGTGAAAGTGAGTGATGAAACAAGTGGAGCGGAAGTGACAAGTATCCTTTAAATCCTCCTGCATCTAACTTTGCAATGCCCGAGGACAAAGGACACTTGTGTAAGGGGCACAAGTCCGGGGCAGGCACAGTACTATGGCAAGAATTTTTTTTTTTTTAATCTTCACTAAGGATATTTTTCCATTGAATTTTAGAGAGAGCGGAAGAGAGAGGTGAAGACGGAGAGAAATATCCATGTGAGAGAAACACACTGATTGGTTGCCTACTGCATGAGCCCCAACCAGAGCCTGGGCCAGAGAGGAGCCTGCAACCAAAGTAAGTGCCCTTGACTGGAATCGAACCCGGGACCCTTCGGTCTGCAGGCCGACGCTCTATCCACTGAGCCAAACCAGCTAGGGCTTTATGGCAAGAATTTTAATTCTGGAGCCTCGTGCCCCACCCCCATGGGGTGGAGGAGAGAAATGGCTTCTAGGCTTCTTCACATCACTCTGGGTTACAGCTGAGACTTTCCTGAAACTAGGACAGCTGGTTAATGAAGTAACAGGTGTCAAACACTCAAGGAAAAGACACTTAAGAAAGAAGTTCAGTTCACCAAGCATCCCCTCTTCCTGGCACAGCAGATACTACTTTCTGGACACCGAAGGGTCTGTTCGTCAGTTCTCTTTAAAATTTTTAAAAAAATATATTTTATTGATTTTTTACAGAGAGGAAGGGAGAGAGACAGAGAGCCAGAAACGTCGATGAGAGAGAAACATCGACCAGCCGCCTCCTGCACATCCCCTCCTGCACATCGCAGCCAACGTACATGCCCTTGACCGGAATCGAACCCGGAACCTTTCAGTCCGCAGACCGACACTCTACCACTGAGCCAAACCGGTTTCGGCTCGTCAGTTCTCTTACCCATCGTCTCATTTAAGCCTCTCACCCTCCCTCTGAAGCAGGAATTACTGGCCCCTTTCGCAGAGCCTAACACTGAGGCTAGGGAAGAAACTTGCCCGGGTGCAGTAAAGCAAGGCTCCTCCCCCTTCATCTCATCTCAGAGGTCACCCTTTCCGGGAAGCTCGCCTGACCACCCTCCCCTGACCCCAGGCAGCCTCTGATCCCTGCTCCGTATCCCCCCCACACGGCCTCGAACCCGTTTCCTTCTACGGAAGTACACAGCACTTTGGACTCTAAATGGGAGAATCTCGAAGGCAGGGATTGAATCTCGTGGGGGCTGGAAGCTCATGGTGAAGGTGTGAGGGGGAGATAAGGGGGGGAGGGAGGGGAGCAAGAAAGACCAGGCTGCCCCTGCCCTGTCCCTCACTGCAGCCTGTCTGCAGACAAGGAGGAAAGCTCACTACCTCCCAAGCAGAAATTCACAGAGACGGAGAGCTGTTTCTTTCTCAACAAAAGACGAGGGGCCCTTCCTGGATCGCCTGCCCGGGCCCAGAAGTGGAACTGAACCCCGGAAGGCAGGCGTGGGAATGGCTTAGTGGGCTGTTAGGAGGGAGCTCGTAGGCCCCGGCAGGGGAGTGACATTCCAGCAGCAATGGCAACCCTATCTTTGTACCCGCCCACAGCCAGGCCTGCTTTCCATTCGGACGGGCGGATCCCCACACCCACCTAGAGCCCGCCTCAGCCCTTGCTTACACTTTACAAGAGAAGTGAAAGGGGGAGGAGGGGAGACCCAACACCACTAAGTGCTGCTTGACAAACTCTCTCCTGACCCCACAGCACTCTGCGAAGTGGGAACCAGCACCCCCACTTTACCGATAAGGATTAGGGAGGAGATGGGTCTTGTCGGCTTCACCCCTCCCCGGGCCCCACCCAAGTCACCTGGCTAGACAGCCAGGGAGCCAGGAGGTGACTCCCTGCACCCCGACTTCAGGATTCTGCCACCCAGCGGCACAGCTAGCGGATGGCAGAGCTGGGCCTGGAACCTGGGTCCTGCCTCCCGGTCCCACGCTCATCGCTCATCACGGAGCGGGCAGCTGCTTCTTAGGTGGCACTGAGCTGGCAGGGCGGCCAGCGCTCCATCGCCCTAATGGCCTCATTTGTGGCTGTGGGGGCCACGCCTGGCTGCCAGTTTGTGGGGAGGACGTGTGTGTGTGTGTGTGTGTGTGTGTGTGTGTGTGTGTGTGAGAGAGAAAGGGGTGAGACACACAACCTCTGCTTTGTGGAGCCTGTACCTTGATCTGCTGGTTGCTGTCCCGCCCCACCCCTCAGAGCCCGGGAGGATAATCTGGCCGATGTTCCCGAGAAGGTGATGAAAGTCAGGTGCGGGTGTGACGCTGCCAGCTCTGGAAACCCCACCCTGTGGAAATCACAGGCCCGGGGTGAACAGAAATGAGGAATCGAGATGCTCACGTAGCTCTGGCCACAAAGGCCAGATGGCTCTTGTGGGTGGTGTGCCCAGGGCAGGGGATCTGCACCGAATTTCGGAGCATGTCGGAGGCAGGAAAGAGCAGCTCCCGAGTGAAACTCACAGGCCCGGGACCAGGTGGCCACACCCTCCAGTCTGTTTCCAGAGCGGATTTCTGAGCCTCCGCTCTTAGGGGTACGGCCCTTTGTGGCCGAGGGCCCTGTCCGTGCCTGCCTGTCTCTCTGGTGCCGGCAATTAGCTGAGATTTGTTAAGTCACATGCCATCTCATAAACCACTCACATCATAGGTTAGTTAAATACTTGCATTTCATAGACACAATAAGGTAGTAAAAGCTCTAGATCCAAACCTCAGCTCAGATCGCCACTCTGCCTCTCCCCAGCTGTGTGACCTTGGGCCCGTGACTCGGCCTCTCTGGGCCTCAGCTGTCTCATGTGTACAACAGGGATGGTAACAGCAGTACCTCCTTCGCAGGACTGTGGTGACACTTCCATGAGTTGGTAAGCGTTTAGAACAGTACTGGGCACACAGCAAATGACTGCTAAGTGTTAGCAGTTATTATTTGTGTAATTGTTTCTTATAAAACACGGGCTCAGAAACTTTCAATTGACTCCCACCTCCTAAGGAACAAAATCCAAACTCCTTAGCGTGGCATGCAAGGACGCCCCTATCTAGCCCGAACCCCCCTTCCGAGGCTCACCCTCCACAGACCCGTCAGGTGTGTGGTCATCACTCTGATCCCAGATCTATCTCTGCGGGTGCTGAGGGCTCCACAGGAGTTCACCGAGGCCGATGCTTGCCAAGCCCTGTGCTTCCCGCCGAGGGGGTAGCCCTGCAAAGGATACGGTCCGCACCCTCAAGGGATCGGCACCTGATATTCCGCCTCTCAAGACTGTGAGTCCTCCACCCCAACTACCCTTTTCCTCCTCTGGCCACCTCCTCCCCAGCCTGAAGGAACTATGCCCTGCCTGCTGGTGGGCCCTGGGATAGCACCTGCCTTACATTCAGGCCTCTGTCTAGGCGTCTTTATCCTGGAATAGAAAGGATGGGCAACAATCATCTTATTACCCCCTACCCTGGTGCCCGGCACAGAGCTGTTACATAAGTAACTGGTTAATCTGTATCCCAGCTTGTCACTCGGGCATAGACATCTGTGACTTCCACAAAAAATAGAATTTAGTTGCTTGATAACAATCAAGTAGGATTCAAATAGCACAACCATGGCTACGGGGCAAGATAATAAAAATATGGCCATCCCTCCTGAGCATGACACCACGCAACATCTGTTACTGCTGTTACATTATCCATTACACTGCTCAGTGTCTTTCACGTGTGAAATTTCTATGTGGTTAATTTCTTTTTAAATGTGCTACAAAGTTCCTGAGAGAGAAAACTGCTGATTTGCTTTCTGATACCAGGAATCATAGGAATTGGCCCTATCCCTTTTCCCCTTGGCTGCCAGGAAGCTCATAGCCAAATCAGAAACTCACCTATGGGCATTTTCCTGGTCTTTATGTTCAGCTTTTTCTTTATCCACATTTTCCACTGTATTTCCTCTTATCCTATTTTCTTTTTCTACTTCGTGTCATTTTATGGAATGCATTTTAATCATCACACATCCTGAATAAAGTGAATTAGAATACAAAAATGTATTAGGAATACCCTTTCCCTGATTGATTCTCCTGGGAAGGTGGCTTCAATGTTCTTCCTCAACACTGGGAGCCTGAGGCAGTAAAGACAGACTCAGGTTTGACCCCATGTTCCCTGGCTCATGTAACCACGTCTTTTTCCCTTGCAGGCCTCAGTTTCCTCATCTGTAAAAGGGGTTGTTGTAAAGAGTAAATGAGCTGAAACATGAACTTCCTGGTATGTAACATCCCATCCCAAAGTGAAGTGGTACCTGATGGACATGCTGAAGCATCCAGCCCCTACCTGGTTTTCTTTATTTTCCTTCACTGCTTTTCCATCTGCTTCTGCCCTTGTCCGTATTTTCTGACCTTGGCCTTAGTTCAGCCAACACTTGGCATTAATCTAGCTCTGCTGCTGTACTCAGGGCAAAAATAACAGGCTGAATGTCAAGGTGAATGTCAACAGTGAGAAGTCCAATCCAACTCACCAAGAGGAAGTATGCACTCCCAATAAATGTGAGGTACGTGGCTCTTTCCTGTTCTCCTAAAAACGCATTACCCCAATCCAATCACGATGAAAACATCACACAGGTCCCAACCGAGGCACATTCCACAAAATACCTGCCTGGCACTTCTCAGAACTGCCAAGGTCTTCAAAAACAAGGCCAGTCTGAGGGCTGTCACAGCCAAGAGGAGCTTAAGGCGACATGACGACTGAATGTAACGGGGTGTCCTGGATGGGATTCTTGAACAGAAAGAGTATATTAGGTAAAAACGAAAGCAATCTGGCCGAAACTGGTTTGGCTCAATGGATAGAGCGTCGGCTTGGGGACTGAAAGGTCCCAGGTTCGATTCCGGTCAAGGGCATGTACCTTGGTTGCGGGCATATCCCCAGTAGGGGGTGTGCAAGAGGCAGCTGATCGATGACTCTCATCGATGTTTCTAACTCTCTATCTCTCTGTACAAAATCAATAAAATATATAAAAACAAAACAAAAAAAACCCCGAAAGCAATCTGAATAATGATAGGCTTCGGTTCGCAATCATGTATCAATATCATGTGAGAAATGTACCATAAATACAGGGTGAGGCAAAAGCAGGTTTACAGTTGTGAGTATGTGAAACATAGTTTATTCTTGTATTATTATTAATTATTATTTATTAATTCTTATATTATTTTCCCTACAAACAACTATAAGCCTACTTTTGCCCCAACCTGTGTAAGACGTTAGTAATGGGAACCTGGGTGAGGGTGTGAGGGAAGTCTCTGTAAAACCTTTCCAGTGACGCTAAAAACCTAAAACTGTTCTGAAATAAAATGTTCATTAAAACAAAACAGAAAACAAGAGCCGTCAACCCCAACACAAGCCCAGCACCACCTACTTCTCGGGTCTTACACACTCATTTGTGTCTCCCGATCACCCTATGGAATAAGCCCTGGGATGCCCATTTTACAGATGCAGTGACTGAGGCCAGAGAAAGGAGGCAGCGTGCCAGCAAGCGGCAGAGTGGGGTTCAACCCCAGATCGACCTGAACCTCTCAGGGCCCCGCCTCTTTTCTCATGCCACCTTAGAGCCTGGCTCTCGGAGGTGATGGGCAGCCCAGGGGAGAGGTGGGAAGTTGGGAAGCTATGACCGAGGGGGGGGAGGGGGACTCTGTGGCACCCGGGGGGCAGATAGAGCTGGAGGCCTGAGCATGGAGAGGGGGGAGGTGGGCAGAAGTTATGGAGAGGATTAGCCTAAAGGTGAGACTCAGGGGAGCTTGGAAGGGCACAGAGCGTCCATGGAGGTCAAGGTTGCTAACTGCCTCGTCGGGGAAGGTGGCAGTCCTGCCAGCCAATGAGTCAATCGCTCTGGTCTGGACCAGCGTCCCAGGCTGGGATCCCAGTGATGTGCGGGCAGTGGGAGACGCGCCCACACACTCAGGGAACGGGAAAACACTCAGCCACTCGGCCAGGCGTTGACTCACTTGCCTGGGGGCCCCGGAAGGCACTGAGAGCCTGACCTAGTGCTGCCAGCTGACAGCCTCAGGGCTCACAGAGGCCACCCCACACCCAGAGCTGGCCAGCAAGCCTCCCTTTCCTGCTGACACAGGCCACCCATCACACCGCTGACCGTCCAGCTCAGTGCATGGCTCCTACCAGGCCTCTCTCCATCCCACCAGCCTGGCAGCTTCCAGCTGTCACCTCTGCCCTTCTGTCCAGGCCCACCGACTCTGTCCCCTTCCCTCGAAGCCTTCCCCGATTAGCCCTGGAGCCCCCCGATCTCCAATTATCATCCCCCGTCCCCCCAAACCTCCATTCACACTCCCCAGTCCCTCATGCCCAGTTGGCTCCGAGCAGAACCTTCTAAATTGCCTCATATGATCCAGTCAGTCTCCTTCACACGCTGGCTCCCTGGAACTGGCAGAAGCAAGCCTGCTTCCTGGCCTGGCTCCCAGCCCCCTCCCACCTCCCCCAGGCTCTGGCTCCTGGCTCCTGGCTCCTCTCCAGCCGCTCTCTCACTTCTCCCTCCCATGTTGGAGCCTCGGTAAAATACGAGTGTGCTTCCTGCTTCCAGGCCTTTGTGTATCTACTGCCCTCTGCCTGTGAGGACTTTCTTCTCCTCCTTCCTCCGGCTGACTCTTCAGCTCAGGTGCCTCTTCCTCCAGGCAGCCTTCTCAGACTTCACCGTGACCCGTCCTGCTGGCTTCCCGGCCACAACCTGCATGGCCTCCTAGCGGCTCACCCCAACAGACCTCAGCCAAGTGCAGCTGTGGGACCTGCACCAAGTCACCCCCCTTCCTTTCTGGGCTGTGGTTTTCTTGTTTATCAGATGAAGATGATAATGGTACCTACTCCTTCGGGTCTGTATCTATATTAAATAAAACAAGACACACACCGTCCTCAGCCCAGTGGCTCACGGGGAAGCAGCCCTGAGTAAATGCTAGCATGTGTGTGTGTGTGTGTGTGTGTGTGTGTGTGTGTGTGTGTGTTGGTTCAGAAAGGGCTGGCTCTCCCAGTCACACTGAGAATGACGGAAGACGGGGAGGGAAGGAAAAACGCCAAGGACCGAAGACACGCCAGGTGCTGGACCTGGTACCGGCTGACACCTGTCATCGCCTGGCTCTTCCCCGTTGCATCCTGGGAAACGATCGCCATTTCGGGAGGGTGAGTAACTTGCCCAAGTCCGAGATCTGGTAAATAACAAAGCCTGAATCTACACCCAGAGCTTGTGGTTTTGCCATGACAACACGTAAAATGGCAGCCCCCATCTACCCCATCCTTACCATGGAGGCCTCACCTCCTCCCCATAACTTCTGCCCACCTTCCCCCTCTCCATGCTCAGGCCTCCATCCTTAAGTCTCTGCTCCTTTGTCTGGCCTCACTGATCTCTGAGCACTACGCTGGAGACAGACCAGAAACTTGCAGGACAGCCCGGTGAGTCCTCGGCCGAGGCGACCCAGTGTGCAACGTGCTGAACTAACCTCAACGTGCTGACATAAAGCTCAGGACGTCAATCTGTCTCGCTTAGCGATACTTAGGAGGACGATGGTGAGCAGCCCAGTAATTAGGCTCCACCTGGAAGCAGCTCGTGGCAATGGCTGTAATTAGTATTTGTGTTGCACAGGGGCAGGGGAGGGCCGGGGAGGAGGAAGAGGGAGGAGGAAGCAGTTAGGGCAGGGAGGGGACTCCCAGGACCCAGAACTGAGCGTGGCCAGGGCCCTCACAGCTTGTGCCAGGCCCTGTGCCAACCAACTCATGTGGACCATCCTGCTGAACGCCCATGATAACCCCATGATAACGCCCGTGATGGGGGTCCTGTTCCCCTTTTCTCAGGTGAGAAAGCAGGCTCAGAGACGTCCGTGCACCTGCCCAGGGCCACACAGCCAGGGAAGAACGGAGCCAAGATTCACACAGGCTTGCCCACCTCCCACTCCAGCCCAGAGGATGCCCTGGACAGCGGGAGGTGGTCGGGGCCTGGGCGGGAAACCAGGTCTGTATTCTGTCCCAGCTGGACACTGCCTTACCCTGGGCCTCAGCAAGTGGTTCCCATTCCGAACACAAGGGGGAAATGTGGCTGTCAGACTGGGAGCGGCTAAGAGAGTGGACTTGGGAGTGAGGCTCCTTGGATCCTAGTCTTTGGGCAAAGCTCTTCCACCATCTGAGCCTTAGTGTCCTTGACCGTAAAATGGAGGTAAGTGTTGCCCTCATAGGATTATGAGGGTTAAATATGTTTAAAAACTTAGAAGAATGACTGACTATTATTATCCTTTATGAGGGAAATATGGGCTTTGGAGTCAGTTTTTCCATCTGTAAAATGGGAAGGCAGTTGATGAATTAGCAAATACCTGTAAGCCCTTTATTTAAAAAACTTAACAAGGCAACCCAAATATAAAGGAGATACAAGCAGGGCCTTGGCCGCTGTGGCTCAGTAGTTGGAGTGTCATCTCATGCACCAGAAGGTCGAAGTTTGATTCCTCATCAGGATTATGGGTTTGATCCCCTGTCGGGGCGTGTACAAGAGGCAACCAATCTATGCATCTTTCATATTGATGTTTCTCTCCCTTCCTCCCCTCTAAAATAAATTATTAAAAAATATATTTTATTGATTTTTTTTTTACAGAGAGGAAGGGAGAGGGATAGAGAGCCAGAAACATTGATGAGAGAGAAACATCGATCAGCTGCCTCCTGCACACTCCCCACTGGGGATGTGCCTGCAACCAACGTATATGCCCTTGACCGGAATCGAACCTAGGACCCTTGAGTCTGCAGGCCGATGCTGTATTCACTGAGCCACACTGGTTAGGGCTAAAATCAATTTTTTAAAAAGGAGAGAGATAAGTGGGACTGCTGCTTACGTATTCAACAACCCATTCCTTAACCCCAAAGCTGGCTTCCTCAGAGGTTCCAAGGAAAGGAGTTTGAACATCACTCCTCCATTCCTCTCAGAACTAGGGAATGGCTCTAGGGCTCTGATAAGGAAGGCACGGTGGAGGCAGGAAATGAGCTGTCCAGCGGAGGTGGAGGTGGGCACCTGGAGGTGTGGGACAGGCCTGGCCATGCCCGACGTGGAGTTCCTGGGCTTGCTGGCGGCCACCACTCAAGCTAGATAACCATCTCCCGAGAGGCAGCTGACGGCAGAAGGAAAACAATGGACTCGGTCAGGTGATGGACCCACATTCTAGCCCAGCCACGTGGCCGTGGGCAGCTCAGGCCACCTCTCTGGGCCTCCCGGTCCTCACGGTAAGGTGAGGATGACAGGACAAAACCAGGTCACATGCATGTGCAGGCTGTGCGACTGTGAAAGACTGCCCCGCCTTCATATGTTCACCTGTTCTCGTAGATTATTCTCCCTTCCTGAGAGCACAGAGTTTGGAGCCAGACTATGAAGTTCAAGCCTCAACTGCGCCATGTACTACTGGCTGTGCCAGGGTTCAGTTATCGAACTGTTCCCTCCTGTGAGCAGGGACGAAAAGGACTTAGCACAGTGTTTGCTGCTCTTGGATCTGGGGGAACAATAACGAAGGGCAATCCCTGCTCCCCAGGGCCCGTGTCCAGTGCAGACACAGCTGACGAGGGGGAGTGCGCAGGTGCAAAGGCAATAGGTGGAATCTTTCTGTTCCGTGCTAAAGTGTGGCTCCAGCTTCCCTGGGCTACACTGTGGATATGCCTGTCCCGTCCTTAAAAGACCAATGCCATTCCACTGATTCCTGTTTACTGAGCATCTGTCATACGCCAGGCCTTCACCGTAACCCTGCATGGTAGGCAGCACTGTCCCCATTTGCCAGATGAGGAAACTGAGACTCAGGTGATGTGACTACCACAGCGCCAGGGTGCCCCTTCTCAATGCACAGGGTCTAGAGCCAGGCCTGGAGGACTTCTCTGGTGTGGAGGCCGCTGATGGGCCTGTGACGACCCTGGGGTACCGGCCCCCATCACTTGGCGTTCTGGCAGAAAGTGGCATCCTCAGGGTGAGGAGACCCAAATGGCATTAGGTCTTACTCAGAAGACAACCGTGACCTGAGAGGAACCAGCAGCCCCGAGTGGCTGAGTGCCCTAAAGCCCAGTGCCGTGCTCCCTCCTCTAGGAGGTCCTCCTGGACCAGTCCTGCCACCTCATCGCTCCTCCGGCCCACGGTCCACAGGCCTCTGCTATGCACCAGAACACTCCACACATCACTTACTTAATCCTGCCTACCACTTTCCCGGCTGCTCTCTACTTCTCTGAGCCTCGGCTTCAAAAAACAACAAGGATAACAATGGTAAACGCGTATTGAGCACTCACTCCCTATGGGAGCCTGGCTGGGTGGCACAGACATGATAAGGGCTGAGAAGAGCCCGGCCTCTCCCTGCCAGGCCCGGGAGCTGTCCCTGCCAGTGACCGCACACCCTCTTTCTCCTGTCCCGAGGAGCGCAGCCAAGCGCAGCAGGAGGAGCACCGGAGTGAGCCAGGGGCACCGGTTTGGGTCCTGTCTGTGCCCCCACCCCCAAGGTGGGAGGGGATGATGGAAATGCAGTCCTGTTTTGCCAGGTGATCCTTATCTCCTCCCTCCCAAGTGATAGGCTTGTCTGGACCAAACACCAAGGGGTGGGGATGCCCCAGCCACCAGCTCCCCTGGCAGCAGCCGCCTGGCCCTGGCCCTGCCTGCTGATTCTTTCCCTCTCCCCTGCCACCCTCCTGGGCCTGGGCTCTCCCTCTGCCAGGTTCCTGCTACTTCTGCCCCTACTTGCCCGGTGCTCGCTGACACCCTCCTCAAGCATCAGCCGGGCTTGCCCCTTCCCAACCCCGCCCCGGGCTGCTTTCCTAAAATGGGGCTCTGCTACCTGACAGACAGCTACGGTGCCAGGGCAATCACGGCAGGTAGGGCCGAGGCTCTGGTTCCTTGTCCAGATGGGTAGCACCCTTAATAGCTGGCAAACCTGCACACCAAGTAGCATAACCATCCCTGGCAGCCTCACTCTCTCCCCCAGGGGGAGTGTGTGTGGTGGTTAGGAGCACGGACTCTGGAACCAGTCAGGGTTCAAGTCCCAGCCAAGAACTTACTCTATAACCTTGGGCAAGTCGTTTAATCCATCTCTCTGGCTCAGCTTACTCATCTGTAAAATGGATTATTAACAAATTGTTAGGAGGATTAGATGACTTAATCACACTGAGCACTTAGCCTGGGACCTGAAACAAAGGACCCACTCAACAAACACCAGCTATTGCGATTCCCAACCCTCTGACCAGCCCGAGGCAGGACTCCCAGCCGGCAGGCCGCAGCTCGGGTCTGGCTCACCAAGGTGCTGTCAGAGGTGGTGAAATGCCAACATTTAGAAGATTGGACACCAAAACCAGGATTTTCAGCTTTCCTTAGAAAACAAATAAACCACCAAAACAAACACTTGACAATGCTGGGCCCACATTCTCAAGTGGCAACCGCCTGCTGGAACCGAGGAGTGGCTGCCCGCCCCCGGACAGGCCGCAAGTCCCCGGCACCACGGCCACCCCAGTCCAACACCTCCTTGTCTCCCCCTCTCTGGGGCCGAGCGTCGGCTGCCATTTCCTCAGGCTGGTGCTGGTAACAAACCTTTCCTGTACCCTTGTCTCGGTGGGAGGTGATCTGTGTGAGGCTTACACACGGGCAGCACTCGGTGTGATGACAGACCTCAGAACAGCAACCGCCCTGCGGACGGGACTTACTGGAAAGGGGCCTGCGGGGCTTTCTGGGAAATGGAAATGTTCTGGAAATGTCCTCTCTCCTGATGTCCCCTGTGGTGGCACGGGTGTGTCCCAACTCATCGAGCTGCTTGCTTCCGGCCCGTGCGTTCTGTTCTATGCATGTGACACCTCAATAAGAGAAAAAAAGGTGGAAACGCGAGAAATAGGTCAGGAGGGTCTGATGCTTCAAACGAAACAGTGGCTGACGCTTTCTCGTGGGTGGGAAGGAAATGCCCGTGAGCTTAACACGCTGACAACTGTGAAAGAAGTCACAACCCAGGGGCCCCTGGGAAATCACCCCAGCTGCCCTGTATAGTTTGAGTTTGAGACCTACAGTCTAAGGCCGTGAATGACTGCCCAGCAAGAGCTGTCTAGGTCCACAAGGCCCAACACAGAGGCCACTCGCCACAGTGGGCTATTATAATAAAATGTAAACGATCTGATCAAAAAGTAAGTTCCTCATTGGCACCAGCCGCAGTCCGAGTGCTCCAGAGCCACCTGGGGCTAGCGGACAGCACAGACGCAGAACACTTGCATTTTCACAGCAAGCTGTACTGGTCAGTGCTGGTGTCCACGCCCGGCTATGAAC